TTGTGTAAAGTATGTAACAAGTATGATAACTTTCTCTGAGTTCCCTGCACATAAACTAATGTAAACCTGATGTAACTCTGTCTTCAAATACATTAAGTCTCTGTGAAGTCTGTGACATAGACAGTTATTCCATGTGAGCACCAAGAAATCTAATGTATGCATTTTAACTTTGTTTTTAGCTATACAAGACCCCCACATATGTGATGAGATTCTAAAAATGATGTATGTGCATAAAGTTAAGTAACTCTGTCGTCACATACATTAAAGCTCTGTGTAATGGGTAAAATAGACAGCTACTCTCTGGGAGGAATCTGAAAGTAAATCTGTAATTCAGTCATAAACTAAGGTAAATCATTCATCACACACAGTAACAGATTGTACATTATCAAGTAGAAATTCATGATGATAAAAGCCTCATTACAAAAAAATCAAAAAAATCTGAAGTGCATAACATGACTTGAGTTTTACGAAATCTAGAACTTTTTTTGCATCAGATCTAGAACTTTGCTCTCATTTTTTTAGAATGAGCATGGGAACTATAAATCACATAGCTTTTTATTTTTTTATTTTTTGTGTAAAGTATGTAACAGATAAGATTTAACTTTCTTTTTACCTTTACAAGACCCTCACATATGTGATAAGATTCTGAAGATGGTGTATGTGCATAATGTTATGTAACTCTGTCGTCACATATATTAAAGCTCTATGGAACGGGTAAAATAGACGGTTATTATCTGTGAGGGCTTTGAAAGTAAATCTGTAATCCAATCATAAACTAAGGTAAATCAGTCATCACACACAATAACAAAATGTGCATTAACAAGTAGAAATTCATGATGATAAAAGCCCCATTACAAAGCTTCCAAAAAATGTAAAGCTAAAGTGTTTCCCCAAAAAATACATTACAAAGCACAAAAACCCTTACAAAGAGTTTCACAAAAATTAAAGACCCCTAAAATTGTAAAGTAAAAAACTAAATATTGGTTGTTTTCCTTCCACGCCATAACATAGCTGCAAATTGACATCGAAAATCAGCCATGTGTTCAGAACTACAGTTCGGACTTAATGGTAAGCCAACCAACAAAGACTCTAGAAATGCAAGCACCATCACTCCACAATTGTCATACCTGCAAGAGAAAATAGTATTAAAATAAGTAGGGGGTATAATTTTCACCCGTCCATGGGAGTAGCATACAATTCACAGAAAGCAAGCAAAAATAACAAGCAGACCTCTTTCACAGACAATAATGTTATATGAAGTTCAAATAACAGAACTTAACCATCTATGCCATACAATTCACAAAGTAAGCAAAAATAACAAGTGAAGAAAAAATACATTACAAAGCACAAAAACCATTACAAAGAGTTTCACACGTTTCCCTTTCA